TAATTCTTTTACTGAAGGCAATCCGTTTTCGAGCACTATCCACTACGGTTGCGTTCGAGTCTAATTCTTCGTCTGATTCCACTTCGTCCGTCTCAATTTCCTCTTCTTCCATTCGACAATTCAACGGATCCGCAAAATGCGATTTCATCTCTGAAAATTCTCGCTAGCAACATCTTCAAATAGAAATTGAAACTCTTTTCGAAGAGTATCTCAGGTCTACATTGATTTCTTGCTAAATTACCAAAATATCTCACAAGCTCATCAGAACATGTTGCAAAATGAATCGGAAATTCAATTTTCATTGATTCAGTCTACTCTGTGCTGTAATCGTTCACTGAATATCACAATTCAAAACAACAATATTTCGGCGAATTTAATGAATTGATAAACCTTCTTGTTTAATGGCCACTTTCAACGGTTCAGCAAATGCCTCTTGTAAAGCTGAAATTGTTTATCAAATGAACGATTCACATCGATTAAACAAACAAACAATTTGATCTGAACTAGATCTGATCGAGACAAGTATGAGTTGAGCGCATGTACATACATAGCCTTCTGTATTTTTGAATGCAGCTAAATTTTTCTTAAACTATCCACGAAGATGCACGAATAGAAAGAAGCAACCCTTATGAGCAGCAGGCACGTAAAAATCCACTTTAATGTGAAGAAAAAGTGACGCAGGTCCAGCCGGTCGATTCGCTGCATTGCGCAGAATCACATGACGATAACCTATAATAATGCATTCTCATCGTTCACCAATTGCAACAATTGCTAGTTCGTTTTGTCATCGTAAACGAACGCTTTCAGTGAATGAATTCTCGCCATTAATACTGCCTATTAAGAAGATACTGAAAAGAATGTAACCAACCGTTTGTGATCAAATGAACAGGCAGAACGCGATGTGCAAGCTGTTCACCACGATCACTCATTAAACGTATATAAACAACTGAACGTTCCGGGAATCGAATCTGAAATCCATATTTTTCAACTCACAGTAATACCCTCGTATAGCGGTCGTTGGAACAGTAGTGAGACTACTTTATTTACTAGAAAACTGTTTTGACGATTTAATTTTGAGATCTATAACGAATCTGATGCAACAATACCTTCTCAATGACGAACGGTTCATCTTTAAGTGTCGAGTAAACTGGATTAATTGCGTTGTTCTGAACAATTTTTGTTTTGAATCGTCCTTTGAGTTGCTCCAATGGAAGTCCATAAAAATCCACTTGAACGTATGTTGATGTTCTTGGAGAGCCTAACGTCGTTAACAGTTGGCCTGATAAAACCTGGAAAGTTGATTGTCTCGCAAATTTGTTACCTGATTATCGCATTTAACTGATGAACTGTATAATAGCGCAGTAGTCTTGATACAGTAATGAATCACATTTAGAATAGACACTAGTTCACAATAGACAGGAGTATTTTGAATATTCTTCGAAAAAAAAGAGCGGGTAATCCACACGAATCAGTCGAGATTTGGATTCATATGTTCGTAGTAATCTGCTCTTAATCACTCATCATAGTATCTTCATATGATCAGTTGATCTGATCA